AGTATTCTCCAAATTTAGTATTTTTATTAATTCTAAGAAATTTAGGGATTTTTTTTGAAAGCGCCGCTGAGCCCTACAACGAGCTTTTCTACACAATTTTCCATCAACACTCGAGCGTGCTCGTTGTCGGCTTCTGCGCGGCGGCCACATGGTTCGGCTGTCAGAAAGTTTTTTCCCGAGACAAGATATGTCTCCCTGCAAATTTAGGTAAACGTTAATCCGGAAGCGAGGTCACGCATCTTGCCGGGATTCGCGCTATGGGTCAGTAGAAATCTGATTTTTCGGATTATGTAAAATCGAGATTCTGACTGGTAACTCTGAAACCAACTTTCTCGAAACTCCAATTCGTCGAAATTTGGCTCAGTCTAACTTTGATGTTTACGAAATTTAACCTGAATATACCAAACCGGAACCAAATCCCCATCGCGCCAAGTTACAAAAAGGCGAAATAATCCTAAATTTTCAATCGAAAGGTCGATCCAAACTTTCTAGTTCACCTTCGCAAACTGTTTTGCCGTTCTTGCGCTTGTTATTCGGACATTGTGCATGCAATTCGTCAATTGGTCCATCGATCTCTGGCCGTGGTGGGACTTTATGACCGGAACCGGAGTCGAGCTCGTCGAGATTATGGGGTCCAGGTATTCATGAAATGACGTGAAAATTGAGCCTGCTTCAGCCTATTTTTGGTTATCGCCGTCTGGTCCGCGCGGGATTCCACTGTTATGGTTAATGCAGTCAAGTAAATGTTACGTTTAAGTGAAGTTTTAATAAAGTAAATTTTCCTTTCCGAACTGACAATGAGCCTTGAGCTCTAAAATTTCGAGTGACAGAATCGCGAGGAGAGAGAGAGCGAGAGAGAGAGAGAGAGAGAGAGAGAGAGAGAGAGAGAGAGAGGGAGAGAGAGGGACAGAGAGAGAGCGAGAAAGGGTTAGTACTTCGAGGACCTGCTTTCTACTGCCGCCCCTTACTACACACCGGCGTCTCGCTATGCCCGATTTGGTGAGCAGGTGATTATACACAACGCTGACCTCGGAGCTATGGACCACACTTTCGTTTTTGTACTACCAGTTACTTACAGTACCACTTTTGTCAAAATCCACAACGCCGTAGATGTTCTTACCTTCTGCCAGCGACGAAGCAATCGTTAGTTCCTTCTACACGACCCTATGGATCCTCAACACTTTATTGTGCATTGTATCGGTCAACTGTCTACTTTTTGTCAACTCGAAAATGACCAGGAGTTTCAACAGGTTGCAGCTGTTGGTTCTGGTAACCGCGCGTCTCATCACGAATTGAGCTCACAAGATCTAGATCAGCAACCAGGCCGGCGACACGTTCGTCTCGTTCCTGAAGCCAATCATTTTCGCCCCAAAACACGCTTTGAAATTTCTGCTGCACCATTTTGATGCGACGATGCTGAACGGGTTGCTGGCGACGGTAATCCGCGATCAATCGGGGCATTCGAATTTCTAGGCCGGCTACTTTACGGTTTCCATGATATCGTTGACGGCCATCCTCTACCTTGGCATTCTGAGGTACCGTAAAACGGCCAATTCGTCGATGGGTTGCCGTCCAAGTTTCCTGTTAATCTCGGTGACGGCCAACGCCATCTGCATGATACTCTCATTCATCGCGGCGTGTGTGGTAATTTACTCGGAGAATGGAATAATCAGTGATCCAGTGTTGGTGAGTGGAAAATTAGATGATATGCGAATCGTAAGACAGATGCTAAAACGGCTAACGCTCTAGAAGAATTACTGTCATTTTCCCTAAAATCATTTTTCCTAAAAGTCATTTTTCGGAAAACCGGCTAAATATCAAAAAAGGGCTCATCAGTTCTTTAGTAGTATTCATGGCGAAATCGAAATTTTTTGCTAATAAATTCACATATGCCTAGCAATGTCATAGAAAGTATTTTAGTAGCCTGGACTTAGCTATACCGGAAGTCAAAAGTATTAATGAAAAGTAAAAAAAAGTTTGATAAAAGCCAACTAAATGCCAGCATTTCGCTTTCCTGCATATTTTCACATCTCTATTTTATGATTAATCTTTGAAAAGATGAACTGTGGGAATAATGATTTTTAGGAAAAAGACTTTGAAGAAAAGTGATTTTTAGGAAAAATCAATTTAGGAAAAATAAAAAGAAGCTGATCTAAACTAGCCAAAGCACCGATTTTGGATACCTCCAGATCTGCGGCGCCATTCCGGAGCTCTGTGGGCAGACGGACGTTCTGATGGGCATTTTCTCGACCCGGGTGATGTATATCTTATTGGCCATTGTCACGGGTACTCTGTACGGAGGCGGCGTCTATAGTCATATCTTTGTCTCGGTGCTGCGCGAGAACTGCATCCCGCAGCAGCAATATGAGAGTGCACATACGCGAAGCCTTCGGCGGCATTTTGCGCTAGTCTTCTTGCTTCAGGTAAGAGATGAGGTCGGGTCGGTCGATGCTGGGGCATAGGTGCAGGCTTACAAGGGAAGGGCACGCTCACAGGGTGGAATTTCGAAAAACGCTCACGGCAACCCCCCGGGTAATCGACTACGGAGAACACGATGCCGCTGTCCGATCTTGCTACGGAGGACTGTGGACAGAGATACCGCACTTCCGGAAAATGATGATTTGCATGCGAAAGATTAGCATTCCGAGGAAGCCTTATTAGGGTCTCCCATGAGTCTTCGAAAAAATTTTTCGAAAAACTTTTTGTTTGTTCGCTAAACGTTTCATACGGCATCAAGAATGACTTTTGCCACATTTAGACAAGGTTCTGGACTTGTGCAAAAAGTTGTCAAAAGGCAAAACGAAAAAAACGTGAGAAAAACGTGATCCGTGCCCTGGCCACTATCCTAACAAGCTGGTTGCTTACCACTCGGCCATTCAACTAGTGGTACCATACTTATGGGAAACCCTAATAAGGCTTCCCCGGAATGCTAATTTTTCGCATGCAAATTATCATTTTCCGGAAGTGCCGTATCTCTGTCCACAGGCCTCCGTAGCAAAATCGGACAGCGGCATCGTGTTCTCCGTAGTCGATTACCCGGGGGTAGCCGCGAGCGTTTTTCGAAACTCCACCCTGCGAGCGTGCCCTTCACTTGTTAGTCATAGGTTTAGGCGTCGTCTCTGGCCCTTTTCTCGTGAATTTTTCCAATCGACAAACGATTTGAAACCATCACTAACGAAACTTTCCAGTCCGCGGTCCTATTCGGCCTTGTCATCGGCCCATTTTTGGGTTCGTCTTTCTCGTGGTATTCGTTTTCCAGGACTGGCCCGCATTGCCATTTTTGGATTGGCTTTGTACTTGTGGGTCGAAAAGCTGTCTGGTTTCCGCGATGCTTTAGGTACCGGTGTAACGCCGTTATTCGCTTGTCTCCACTCTGTGGTTAATCACCTGATTATAATTTTTGCGACAAAAAGCTATCGGCGGCGGTTGTGGCTATTGGTGTGGCCGAAAAGATGGCGAATCAGCAAACACGAAATCCCCAATCAGCAGTAGTCGCCAGAGCAGCGTGGTGTTCGTGGTCGGACTTTAGGATGAAGCTCTCTCCATTCTCTCTCTCTCTCTCTCTCTCTCTCTCTCTCTCTCTCTCTCTCTCTCTCTCCCTGTCAACCTTTCAGTCTCTCTTTTTCTCTCGCTCCCTTTGTCCCATTCAGAAATAAATATACACTTTCCCGTCACCTCGGTTTTTGGCCGAGCTGATGGCAAGCAGGTGCTAAGACAGGCCGTTGCGGCCACATTGGATTCCAGGAACGTTTTTCCAGCTGCTAGACTTGAATTCACTCTATATCAGCGGTCTCATTAAGCTTTGTACCAGCGATGACTCGATAATCAGCGCTTTCTATTCGGCAACCGACTTCGTGAATCGCTAATCATTTTTCGTGTCCGAGAACGGTCTACTTTTCGTAAACTTGCAGACGACGTTGATTTTGGTACGCAAATTCCAATAGTTTTTGCGGCGAGAGAGAGAGACGCCAGAGCTACAGCAAGCGATGAAGAGCAGAGAGGGAGGGCCAGTGAGGGACAGTTTGCGAAGCGGCAGAGAACGAAACCCGCTCTTTTCATCGATAACTAAAACTTGTCCGGCCACTTCGAAAAACTATCTTGAAAACTACTGAACCAAACAGGCCCAAAATTTGTGTCAATAGCTCATTTTAGAAGGGGATCATTCCTCTAATACATCGTGAAGCCTGAAAATGGCCGGAAAATGGTTGAATAGCCTACTAAAAACAGTTTCACGACGTTTTCAACATTTTTGGATGGTTTGCGAAAGCTGACTATTACACGAAAATATGCGCCTTATTTTTCTGCATCGAATGATGTATAGCTTATTGAGCGCGAACCACCCTAAAAATTCGTTTTATTCACTTTTATGTGTTAAAATGGTGGTAAAAACGACCCCAAAAAATGAAAATTTTTGATGACGGGAAATCTGAGATATAGAATTGCATCTAGAGACCGAGACGAGTCGATTGCAAAAAAAAAGCAAAACGAATTTCCACTTATTTGGATGTCATGGAACCGAACCCGGACCCTCCGCCTGGGAGCCCTGTAGCGCAATCGGTAGAGCGGCGGCCTGCCAATCCAGAGCTGGCGCCAGTTCAATCCCAGCCCCTCACAGAAACCGAATTTCTCTTTGCTCTGGGCTGGCAAAAAAAACTGTGCCAGGTCATAATGGGGTCTGTTCGGATGAGTCGCGGACGGCCTTTTAATACCTCGCCCTTTTTTCCGGGTTCATGCAAGTGCTAACGGCAAGGCCACCGCAATAAAACAAGTGTTATGCGCGTAGATCGGGCGCCTCATTCGGGCGCTCATCTATTTTGTCGTGTCTCCAGGGCAATCTGCCCCCCATTCGAGGGCCCATCTTCATTTTTATATGGAAAGCGGCCGGGGGCCAGACGTCGGCAGCGTCTCAAAATTATCCGCCGGCTTCGATATTTTATTCAAGAGCGCTGTTGTCTATGCTTTGGCGATATTTGTGCTATGGAATCCAGGTGTTCTTATTTATGGAGGTTGCGGGGGTAAGTTATAAAATATTTAACTACGAGTTTAACTCTTGATATGCGTTTGCTTTCGATCTAACTATTAGCCTTTTTAGTACATCAACTACACGGGCAAGTACTGGATTGTTCGACAGGATCTCACCGCTTCTACCAATTTTGGATACGAGACGGTCCAAAATTGCATCAACTTGGGGAGTTCATGTGCTGGATTTTCTGGAGGTATTTAAAAAATGTTCCGACTTTTAACTTTCAGATGGCACATTATACCCTCAAGCTACAAAATGTCAAGCCGAATTTTTGCTCTACACTTCGCAAGATGCATCAGTAGTTGAATCGACTTGTCATCAACTGACGAACGGTATCTAACTTTTATCGCTTTTCTCTGCCTCTCTTTTTCTCTCTCTCTCTCTCTCTCTCTCTCTCTCTCTCTCTCTCTCTCTCTCTCTCTCTCTTTCACACTCTCTGGTCTCTCTCTATTTCTCTCTATATCACTGTCTCTCTCTCTCTCTCTCTCTCTCTCTCTCTCTCTCTCTCTCTCTCGCTCGGCCGCTCCCGAGAAATACGTGGATAAAAACTGGCAAAAGAAGTTTTTTAGCGGCCGTCGACTATACCATCAATGGCACAAAATTCTACAACCTACAAACAAATTGTACCTCCGCATCGGTAACCCCACCATCGCTATACCTTGTTTTTGTCAATTTTTTTTTGACGATAAAAAGTTGTTTAGAGCTGTGCCACGATGTGCGACAACATGGGGCTCTCGGAAATTTCGATTCATTCGGCGACTGAAAATGCGGCAATTAGGGGTGGGTTTTCCGATCAACCGAAATGATTCATACATTTCATAGCAGCTAAGAACTGGGTTTATAATCTGTACTGGTTCTCAGGAAACGTGAGCGCGGCAACATCCTGCGGCCAAATCGGAGGCGCAAATCAATTGGTGCACCTTGCGATCACGAAGAGCGCGAAGAACCTACCCAGCTGGGCGTGGGGAACACATCTCTATATCGCTATTTATCGTTCAGTGATGGAACGCCGTTCGACTACAATTACGCGGCCTTCAATAATTCGTGGAAAACGAGCTGTGCAGGAGCTGTGGTAAAGTTTGCACAAAATCCCACTAGTGTATCCTGGAATTAGCTGAGCAACCTAATAGGTAGAAGAGAGAGAGAGAGAGAGAGAGAGAGAGAGAGAGAGAGAGAGAGAGAGCGAGGGAGAGATAGAGAGTAGAGAGGCGAGAGATGAGAGAAAAGTGAGAGCGCGAGACAGCGAGAGAGTTATAGATAGAAGCAGTTCGAAAGAGACAGAGAGAGAGAAAAAGAGAGAGACAGACGGAGAAAGAGAGAGAGCAAGAGAGCGAGGTATAGGAAGAAAGAGAGCGCTAGAGAAAGAGAGAGGTAGGGGAGCTAGCCGCGGATTTTAAGTGCCTTTAGAAGCATTTCGTCTGTAACGCCGTGTTGCTTGAAAATAACACGAGCCCAATTTAACGTTTAGATGGCCGCTAACGGCACGTGGACACCAACCGGCTGCGCAGGCGATACAAATACCTATATGGCCGCTTGTGTCTGCTTGAAAAGGCCGGCCAACTATGCGGGGTGACAATAAATATTTTGGCACCGTGTTCGCCGAAATTTGGCAAAGGATTATACCATTTTTCTGCGCATTAAATCGTCGCGGCGCCGCAATTCGAATCACCAAATCTCCCAGTTTATTCCCCCAAAAATAAAACCCGAAAGCCAAATCTGCACAGCGTGCTTCTAGGACAGATCCTTGGCTTCAAAATCTTGCGTATGGTCGATGTGACCCTGAATCGAGTGAATTAAATATTGCTTCAATTCAATAACCTGGTTGTTAAGTATATCCATTGTGATATTGGCCTTTGTTTTACCGGCTTCGAATTTTCCTTGAAGCTGAAAGATTTATTTTGGCAGTTCTGGCTAAAAAATCTTACAGAGATAAACTGGCGATCGATCGGACCCTTGATGTTTTCAATCGTTTTCTGAAAACCTTGCTTTCTAAGGGAATCGGTGAAAGTACCGTTGCTCCCTCGTGATCGAATTCGACAGAGTAATGCCCATATTTTCTAAAATTGTATGTAATAAAATTTTAAATGACTCTCACTCTCTAACAGCCACATGAAAACAGGCGGAATAGCCTTTTTCCGAGCTTTCTGGGCGCAGTCGGGAGGTGAAGTGAACTGTGTCCACCCCCCTAAAGGCTTCTGGTTGTAGCTTGATGTCTTAAAACCCTGAATGATTCAAAACCTGCTTTGTTTCTGGAGATAAACGGAGGTCGCGCTCCCTGCGTCGGATTTGTACTCCAAACAGGAAATCACGATCGGCTCGCACGGTGAATGGTGGACTGTCGTGGATTACCCAGAATCTGCAATTCGAATAATGTGAGAGCATGAGAATGAGAGTGAGAGAGCAGAGAGAGAGAGAGTGAGAGAGAGAGGCCGAGATACAGAGGGAGAGAATGAGAGAAAGAGACCTAGCATGAGAGTGAGAGAGGGGTGAAAGAGGGAGGAGAGAGCGAGAGCTAGAGAGAGACCGAAAACGAAATTGAGAGAGAGAGAGAGAGAGAGAGAGAGAGAGAGAGAGAGAGAGAGAGCGAGAGCGAGAGAGAGAACGAGAACGAGAACGAAACTGAAAGGGAGAGAGCGCATTTTTCCATCATTTTCCCCACTTACGGTTCCTGGTTGTGTGGTTGAATCTGACGAAGACAAATATGGAGCGTAATGTTGCCGAGCAGCTCTTGCGTCTTGTCAATCCCGTAGAGCCGCCAATTTGGCGGCGTCGGACCCACTGAATTTGGCCTTTAACGGGGATTGCATGGAGCGGAAAATCTTCGATATTTTTCGGAGCAACTTACGCTGGAATTTCTCCTTCTGATTGTTCTGCGTCCCGTGAATGTACTCCACGAGGTCGTTCATACCACACTCCGGGGCGTGCAGGCCACGCGTTTGCATTCGGTCTATCGGGTGCAGGGCCCTGGAAAAAGTCAATAGGGAGAAAGTAAACTTCGGCCTATGCGTCGGCCATGCTTACACCCAAGCCCAAGTCTAAGTCTAAGCCTAAGCCTAAGCCTAAACCTAAGGCTAAGGCGCAGTCGAAGCCTAAACCGAAGTTCAAACCTGTACGCTTAAACCTAACCCCATACGATATAAGAATTACCCATTAATCTGCGCCCATTGGGCGACGGCCGCGATAGCGTCGTCCCGGATCTAAAAAGCAGGAAGAAAGCCTTCATTATAATTGTCACTGACTTACCGCCACATAAAATAATTCATTATCCACAGAGAAACCCTCGTAGGCGACCGGCTCTTCGTTATTCGTACTGACGTAGTACTGTGAATCGGCGTTACGTCTGTAAATTGGCTGCCTTAGTGTTCTACGGCGCCAGCTAGCAAAGATCTTTTAGCAAATGGCACACAGCCTTAAAAATGCCCCACAACAGTATTTTTCATGTTTGCGGAACGTTACATTTTTTACTTACTCTACCGTCACCTTCGTGGCGTAGCAATTGCATTTCGGGATCCTTTCATAGGATTTTATATCCAAATAACGCTCGGAATCGGGCCAGCCCTAGAGGTAAATTTTACGGTATGGTTTTATTAAAAAAAATACCTCACGCAACTGCCCAAATGTCACATGTGGTTTTGGAGTGGTGGTAATGTTGATTTGAAAGGCTATATTTTTCATTAGCGTGATTGGCAATGGTTTTTCCACGAAGTTGATTTGCATCCTGTAGACGATAACCGTCAATTTTTAAAAATACAAACTCCGGAGCACGACTAAACACCCAGATGTCCACTCGGCTATTGTTGACGAAGCCTCCACGAATGCCAAAGTACGGCCCGGCCATGAGGTCTTGGCCATCGACTAGAGGTATTTCGAGGGTTTATAAATCGGCTATCAAAATTACAAGCATCAAAGACACCATTGCAGAAATACAGTAGCCCAAAGAAGGATGTCAGCCGGGCGAGGAGGTGCATTTTAGGCGGGGCGAAAAGTGAAGGCTACGAAATGGCAAGACAGAAAGTCGCAGCATGCATGAAAAATTAAATTCAGGACGCGAGATGGGGCAGAGAATTGAACGTATTTTTGGGAATAGTGATCTGAGGGTATTCAATATTAAACGTATTAATTATGTATTAAAATTAAATTAAAAACGCCAATTTAGGTTTTTGTTTTATGATATAGTGGTCTCGATTTCCGGCAGTATGACTTCTCTAGTACTATCTCCCTCTTGCGCTTTCTCTCTCTATATCTCCCTCTCTCGCTGGAACGCATGGAATGCAACTGCCACAAGCAACTGGCATTTTGACTCAGACGTACGAGTTCATCTAGGCGACCTTGTGAAATCGTAATGAAGGGTGTTGGGAATTACACTACATAACGCGGTCAGCGCGCTCTATGTGACATCTGTCGTTCTGAATCGATTAGCGTGTTCCCGTGCTAGTCCGACCTTTCTGACAGTTGATTCATCCAAACCAGATCGATTACCCCTGATCCACGCCGAAAAGCGAGAGAGAGTGGGAGAGAGAGAGAGAGCGAGAGAGAGGGAGGGAGGGAGAGAGCTATACGAGTAAGGTTGTTTTTGTGTTAAATAAGAAATTTGCGTGCATTTAAGGAAATTCTATGCAAAAAAAAAATACCTTTATTCCATTCTCATTGCGACCCAAACAAGAATGCCTTGACTTTCGGATTGTATGGCCATGGGATCGTCCGCATTGCTAGGTGTAAATCCAGATAATTGCGGTCGATGACCACCACAAGTATGTCGCCATTGCCCCGAACGATACGGTGGTACAGCGGGCGGTTTCCGAATTCCCGAAGGCTCGGGTAGCACTGGAGGAACTTTGGGAGTTCTGGGTTGCAGAAGAGCAGTATGCGTTCTATGTGGCGCTCTTCGTTTAGCCACTCCTTGACCACCATCTCTACGTATTTTTCGACCTGGTGATCCGGCCACGAGATTTGTTGTAGCGCCATTTTGGGCACTTTTAGCCGGATATAGTCTGGTAGGGGACCGGAAAGGGCTGGAGCTTCCAGGATCGTCACGGAGGCGCTCATCCAGTTCAGCAGCTCCTCATTTGGCTGCACGTTCGCTTTGTAAATGAGATATTCTCCGGTAGGTTTATGGCGTTTTAGCAGCGAGAGCAGGTCTTTCGGATCATAATCCACAAAATTCAAATCCAGGCACCGGAGGTCCATGTTCTCTGGAACCGAGCCCCGCATGAGCAGCACCTCGACGGTCGAATTGTGGAAGAGCAGCCTCACGGTTTTTGGGCTTTTAATGGCCAATCTTTCCGGTTCCTCGTCAACAATCTTGAAAATTTGCTGGCTTGTGGGGGTCTGGAGGAACCAGACGTTCCAGAATTTCCCTCGGAATTGCGTGGCCATCTCTGACATTTCCTTGCTTGTTATGGCGGTCTTGAAGAAGCTTTTCATATCCATCTGTCGGAGGATGTTGTGCTGGATTTCGATTGGGAGTTCGCGGAAGTCGATTACTGTCTGAAATTGGGGTGTTAGAATTGGGATGGCAGACCGGATTCGCGAGGAAATTAAATTTATCGAAATTAAATTTTTGGAAATTTAGTTTTTCGAAATTTGGATTTTTCTTAAGATGACATAGCTGTTCCTAATTAACAGTTTGTTCCGAGGTCTCCTCTAAATATGTAACAACGCCAAATAACTCGCCTGTACTTCCGGCTCCGATGCCTTTTCAAGCTTATTCCGTTTCTTTTTACAAATCAATCTGCTGAACAGTTTGGAGACGTCGCGCCGGAGTTCTGGGAAAGGGGCCATGATGCAACCTTAATTTTTATCCTTAACTTCTGAGTTATTTTTAGGCAAGCAAATTCCAAAATATTCCGAAATGGCTCAAAAGTTCGAATCCTCTTTGCGGTAAGATATGGATTTCCGATATCTGTATTACCCAACCACATCTGCTATCTGCGGGATTTGGCACCGCCTTCCCTCCTCAAAGTATTTACATAGCTTTTCTAGCATGTAAATGTCTTAAAATCTTTTTATATAAAAAATCCTGTACGTTGAAGCCAGACTGTATGCACCGTTTATTAACATAAAAAACGAAGGCTGTGAAGCTGTGGATCCGGCCGTCGCTTAGCGGATCCCTAAAATCATTCTAACGCGTTTTCCACTTGTTTTTATTACCTCGGGTCAGTTTCCCTTCCCCGCCGTGCGCCTCAAATTTCTCGGTATTGATGATTTTCCCCTAAATCATCATCAACTATAATAAAAAGGTAGTGGTGTCCGTCTGTGCGTCTGAAGCCGAATTCAACTCGACGGGGAAAGGAGCTAGGGCTTAGGTCTCTTCGGATTCAGATACAGCGTGGTCAGAAACCCCCAAACTGATAAAAAATTATGAAAAAGTTTTTTTATATATAATTATAATTTTATTTTTAATTTTTATTTTTTTTATTTTTAGATAATTATATATAATTACATAATTAGAAGTTTTTGTTTAAACTATTAAAATTAACTTTGTAAGTTGATTTGGGGCGGAGGTTGGGGTGATTTTGGACATAGACATTGGGCCAGGTGGCGCGCGTTTCGTGGATGAAAATTTTCACCGGAGCCATTTCACTTCTTTTTTTCTTCCACGTATTTTCGTTTTTAAAGGGCTGGAGAAAGATGGGCCGGCGTCCGTCGGGGTGACGGACCGCCGCGGCGCTACCATCGACGCTTTCCCTCGCGTAAGCGCCCCCAAAACCCCCCTCTCGCGTTTGAAGAAACCAGTTTATTGGCTATAACTTTTTCATTTAGCCATGTTTTCAACTAAAAAATTTACCGAAACCAAGGACTTGGTGATACGCATCGATGATAAAAATTTGAGCTGGATTGGATAGAAGGCGGCCAAGTTCTGGGCGATTCGGGGTTTTGGGACACTGTTTTGGCTGAAAAATAGGCGCATAGACAGCAAAACACCTTTAGAAAGTTGCAAAGTACGTTGCTATCCTTTAGCAAGGTTTTCTACAACATTTTTTAGCTATTATCACCATTAAATGGCTTTATTTCTAATGGCCGTTCTTGTACAGGTGACAATGCGCCCTAGGGTATGTGGGGGCCCTCGGCCGCCCCTCTCCACTCGACTCTCTGGTGTACTGGCTAGCGCATCGGACTGCGGGGCGGACCATCCCTGGTTCGACCCCCGTCCGGTGCGGCCCTCTTTGCTCTTTCATCGATTCCATCTTTCTCCAGCCCTTTAAGGGGATTTCGGCTAGGGAGATATCTAAAGCCATCAGTAAGGTATCTTAGTAGCTTTTTTAAGGGCGTTGTGGCAAAGGAGTCGCGAAGCGACTGCAACCACCTGATTTTGTTATAATTTATAACCCGGTTAAGGCTATAATTACTTACCTGGCTGTCGAAATACTCGATGCTCATTTCGGCTTTTGTTTTCTCGGTGCCAAATTTGCCTTGGAACTAAAACAAATTTGATTTTTGTGGTTTTTTACATCACTTATGAGCAAAATCAACCTTTCTTGAGACAATTAAACGACTATTTGAAGCTCACCAACATAAAAAAGAATTATAGACCCACTGAAATAAACTTATGCGCAACTGGCCCCTTGATGCCGCTCGCCGTAAACTAAAGTAAGTCTTTTTACACACGTCAAAACGACTTACAATGGTTTCCTCGTATTTCCATGTTACGGTATAGCTACCAGCGGACCTGAAAAAAATTATAGAACCCGCAAAAAAGTCAGACTCCTTGATTTCCACATCCACGCAAGCCGAGTAGAGCCCATTGCTCCCGGGCGGCTTCAGCTTGGCGGTTCCGCGGACAATGTCGACGCCCTGGAAATCGATAAAATTGCGTAATGTTGTTTTCGCACTTTTTCACGAGATACAAAACGTAGATCTTCTTCACGCCGTCGAATTTCAATGCCAAACAGAAAATCGCGGTCAGCCCGGATGTCGAATGGTGGGGCGTCGTGGGCTACCCAGAATCTGAAATTGCAGAATTGGCGACACACTCTTTGGAAAAAACGACATTACCGTATTAGAGTAATTTTACCGTAACCTACCGCTCCATCTTTTGCGGGACAATGTCATGAAGGCAAATATGTAGCGTGACGTTGCCCAAATGGCGTGCTTCATCCGACTTTCCTCCAAGCTTTTTGTGAGGTGGTAGTGGGCCCACTAAAAGGAGAAACCTAAGCCTAAGCCAAGCCTAAGCCTAAGCCTAAGCTTCCGCTGTAATAGGTATAAATCCCCCAACCAAGTTCAAGCCACCCGGTTATTCATTGTTCCCAAAAACAAGCGCCACCAACGAGCGTAGCAAAGAACAAGTTTTGGTGTGAAAATTGGCTTAATCAGGCACGGCCACCGCTAGTTTTAAAAACGGCCTTTGCTAGTACGCCCTTTCATCGCTTTCCATCCCCTTAAAATGAATTGTCCTACAATCAAAAGCAATCCCATCCGCTCGACTCTGCTGTATAAACTTCAGCGGAACGTTAATGTCAAAATCCGGGGCGAAGTCGCCTCTTGTCTGAAGTTGCGGAAGTGCCAAAATGTCGCCCTTTGCGCCGATTGTATCATACTGAATTACAGCTACCATCGACTCCGTATCCACCTGGAATTCTTGCAAGCCTACTTTCCAAGCTTACCGCCAGAAAAAAGATATCCTGGGTGAATGATATAACATTCCCACGGACCGGCTCCCTCTCCATAGACGCCAACATTAAAGGTAGAGTCTTCATTTCGACTGTAAGGTATGGGTTCTAGTTTGTAGTCTAGCATTACGAAAGTTTCAGCTCGACCATGTAACAATCGGCTTCCTTGATTCTTCGATACTCGCTCATGTTATGACGGTGAATGGTTTGGGGTTGGCCCTGGGTTTCCCCCCCCCCCCCCTCTCCTGTGCCTCTCTCTCGCTCTCTCGGTCTCCCTTGCCTCTCCCTCTCTCCTCAAATACCTCTACTTTCGACCCCATCTTGAAAAACGGCTGCCCATCCCCGCCGGTGATGTTGATTTGGAACGGGATATTGGCCTGGGATTTTGAGGGAAAGGGCGTTTCAGCAAAGAATAGTTGAATGCTAAAATTCTTCATTTTTTTGCCTTTAGTATACTCCGTACTCGGGGTGTTTCGTGAAGATGTAGATGTCCATACGGCTGTTATTAACAAAACCACCCCGGATTCCAAAAATACGGCCCCCTGACTACATCCTTGCCATCGACTAAAAAAGCACCACTTCGGAGGCGTTAAGCTACGAAATACGACTTTTCAATTCAATTTTCTTACACGTATCGTAAACAGCCCAGCATACCGTAGTCAACGATAGAAAAAGAAGGACAAGCACAGTTTTTATCCACATGTCAAAATGCGAGTGGAAACAAGGCCGAATCCGTAATACCACGCCGAAGGTTTTCAATTTTGAAGTCGACACGGGTCTAAAAAGCACATATTAAAAATCGATTTTCATATTGATACGATTTTCATAACTCTCATAAATGTTTGGTTTCAGATTTTTAAAATATGCTTATTAAATTCAAGTGTACCTGCTGTTTTTCCCTGTAAGTTTGGACTGTACTGTAGTGTATCTCATCACGCCCGAAAAATCTTTATCTCAAGGCACAATACCGGGAATCACATGGCATAAATAACGGGCGACGGGGCAATGAAAAATGCTATAAAGTTTTTAGTGCTTCTTCTGCTTCTTGTAGCGCCACACGCGGCACTTTTTCGGCGGGTTCATCGGCGAGTTCAGCTACAAAATGAAGATCAGAAAAGTAGCACAAAGCTCACTGGGCACTTGAATACTTCCGAGAACTGCTGCGAGTTTCTCATCATCTAAAAAAAAGAGAATTATTGGTTCAGAATTTAAAAAATACAAATTTGAAAGTCGGCTCCCACCTCATTCATGCGAATTTTGCCTGGTGGATGGACGTCTGCGAGCAACACGCGCAGCTGGTTGTCGCCCTCATGCGCGCAGTGCATCTACGGCCACAAAATTTTCAGGCCCATTGTCACCTCTACCAGCCCGGCGGCTACATAGAAGAGCTGATCGGGGGTGTACTGCTCGAGCCCCTTGAGCGCGGGCGGATCATTGCCGTACAGCCGATTGCGCTCCGTACGATAGGCCTGAAAAGGTCCACAAAATTTTGCTGCCTGTAGCCCACATACCCTAAAAGACGTGCGCAGGCCCATGTTGTCGGCAATCGCCTCGCCATCCGTGAGCTCGCCGGGTTGCTAGACGTATGGAGAATTGAAGCTATTAGAGAGGCCCTACAATTCTTTGGTTTTAATTTTTGTAAAATAAATTGAAGGCATTTTTCGAAACTGTTGTTACTATTCCTAAGCATAAATCTTGCAGATCAACAAAATGCAAAAACGTAGATTATTGTTAAAAACTCCCCAATTTCTTAGATTTTCTCGCTTTTTTTAAAAAGTGTCCTGCCACTAGGTAAACAAAATTTTATTAGAACTAAAATCTAAATAATTAATATAATTGTTTTTCTTAGGATCTAATCTTCAAATCTAATTGGCGAAAGTGTTTCTAAACTGTTTTACACTATTCTCAAACGCAAAAACTCTACAAAGTATTAAAATGCAAAAACTTCGATTGTTCGCCAAAAATGGCCGTTTTTACCAAAATGTCGAGTTGTTAAAAAACTTTTGGAAGTTTTACTAGTTGAAATATACTTTTATTGGACTAAAAAACTTTATTAAAATTGTTCCTATTAAGCTACGAGACATTTCCATGCCTAAAAACCCTACAAAAAAAATATCTACCGAGAAGGTGCCGTTGCTGAATTCATAGGGTACGGTCGCGTTTTCATATTGATGCTGGATACACTCGACTTGTGCGTCATACTGTTGATTGTCCTCAGGGCCGACGAGAACCGCCCGGTTGTAGGCCAGTACTAAATTTTATTTTTGGTACTGGACTCTTAGCATGGAGCCCTTAGAAGAGGCGTATCGGGAAGAACAAAACGGGCGGACAAGGATGCCCGATTTTTGCATAATCGGTCGGGCAAAAAAAGTTAAAAATAAAAAGTCTTACTATTGTTATCGAAGGTGTGGGCCAGCTCATGGCCGATGGTTAACCCCATGCCGCCGTAGATGACCTCGAGGGCGGCATCCGGGTAGTAGTACGGTTCTTTGACGAGGCCCCAGTAAACGGCTGACAAAGTGCTTTTAAAGGGCTGCCGACGGCATGTGTCGATCCCCCCTCATCAACAAATTGGCAAGTAGCCAACAGGGGACAGAGCGCGCCCAGGGGAGAGACGCAGAGACATTTTCTTCCGCGCGTAACCGATTTACTATGCCGTCGACATCCCTTTAAATAGGTATATCTGAAGTATAGTAGAAGAGCGTGGCCCTCATTGCGTTGAAATTTAGCTAAGAAATTTTTTTTTGCTACGGAGAACTATTTTGGTCCCGGAAAATAAACCACTCTAACGTAGCTTACTGATAAAGTCCACGGCGTTGTGCGCGTTGTAGATGGTTTGTGGAAATTGGAATGCGTTCTGAAATACAAGGGAAAATCAAGAAGCCCCGCTACGGCCCACGCCATATTTGTGCTCGTATCGGAAGGCGTAGAGGGCCTCGGCGTATTCAAAGTAGGTCGACTTTGAGGCGGGAGTGTACTGGAAAATTGATTTTCGGTTACGAAAGTGATGGACCTCTTTGTAGAAATCGTCGAGCTGCGCGGGGCTCCAGGTGAGCTGGTCAATGCCGACGTATACGGGCATGGTTTCAAGCTGGAATGAATAGAGAGAGAGAAAGCCAGAGAGAGAGAGAGAGAGAGAGAGAGAGAGGGAGAGAGAGGAGAGAGAAACCAAACCTTTTCAAACGCACCTTTTCTATGACCCTGTCCTGAGTTGGTTGATCGGCCCACGGACTCTCGCGGACGACTTCGGAAAACGCCTTGCGAACTTTCTCGCCAAGTTCCTGAAATTTAAGCTTTAAGTTCGGAAACCAGGTAATTCCGATAGGTTTAGCCCGTTTCTCCGTCTGGCAGAAAATACACCTCAATACGCTGGCGATTTTCCCGGTCATACACGTGATCCAAGGCGAACGAGTCGACCCATCGCGGATGCGTCATAATCGTCTCGACATCGAAATTTGATTTCTTTTGCAATCAAATCCTTACAGTTTCCAGACAGTGCCGCTCCAGATCGAAGCCGAGGCCTTGGAAGTCCTAGAGATACGTAGAAAACCTCGTATTGCCCATTTACCTGGTAGCTAGGGCCGAATTTAGTGGCACGTCCGAGAAAATATTCCACTATCATCACCTCGACGACGGTATCTGGGTCTTGGATGAAGATTTGCTCGAGCTGGAAAAGGAAAATATTTTTCTCGCCGGCGCTCTCTCTCTCGTCCTATCTCTCTCTCTCTCTCTCTCTCTCTCTCTCTCTCTCTATCTCTCTCTCTCTCTCTATCCCGCTCAAAGCCCACCTTCGCAAAATAACTCGAGTGCTCCATCCAGTTCCAAAACACGGACCCGGGGCTCTTCCAGCGGAACATCGCCTCAATTATCGCCTCTAACTCGAGCTGAAAATTGGCAGTTCGTGCTAAAACACATCTGTTCCGACTAGTAATACGTGCATAATACCCTATGCTTAAGGATTTAATTCCGCAATTTATACGGTCGACACTCTGTATTTTCCCAGCTCGTGAAAACTATCCCACCCTTGGCCAACGGGCATGCGTCACATTTAGCGCTTCAGTGGTGTAATCGTAGGGCGACGTGAGTTTGGCCTATATATCGATCGTTAGGAAGTTGACTCGTACCTCTTCAACAAGCGCCAACAACGTCACGTAACGCCGGGCGCCCACGACCACGCGCCGCTCGTCGATTTCGTAGCCAAAATCGGTGGCTAGCTTCTTCGCTAACTAAAAGAAAAAGCTTCCAAGGAAAATCCAAGGGTGGAAATCTGCATGTTAGATCCACCGTTCGATAGAAATTAAAAAAAAAACTCAAACCAGAATGGCCACCCTTAAAGTACGTTTAAGGCGATTAATGCCTAACTGTAACCGTTTTTTGTTGACCGTGGGATTTCGATACGTGAGATAGCACATTTTGTGCAGAATTTTTCGCTGATTCCGAATCCGTTTTCAAAAGTTGCGGAACCCCTCTAGATAAAAAGTTACAACCGGTTTTCTACCCCAAATGACCGAAAATTACAAACTTTAAATCCTTATAAAAGACTCGTGGAACATTTTGTGGGATAAAATACAGCACTCCTAGGGGTAAAAAAACGTGCTCTTTCGAATGGGCCACCTCACGAACCCGTAGCTCAAAATTCATGAAAAAAAGTTTTTCGGTGGACCAATGCCTTGGATGGCCAATTTTTGAAATTTTGTGAATTTTGAGCTACGGGTTCGTGAAGCAGCCCATTCGAAAGAGCCCGTTTTTTACCCCGGGGAGTGCTGTATTTTACCCCACAAAATGTTCCACGAGTTTTTTATAAGGATTTAAAGTTTGTAATTTTTGGTCATTTGGGGTAGAAAACCGGTTGTAACTTTTTATCTAGAGGGGTTCCGCAACTTTTGAAAACGGATTCGGAATCAGCGAAAAATTCTGCACAAAATGTGCTATCTCACGTATCGAAATCCCACGGTCAACAAAAAACGGTTACAGTAAGGTTTTATACCGAAGAAGTAAACTATAGTGCACCTTTTCGACCCATGGTCCGTACGCATCGAGGGCCCGCGGTGCACGTGGTGCAGACCGGGACAGGCCAACCCCGAAAAATATCCCAGCATGACCGACGTATTGGTCACGCATCTGGAAGAAGGGTGAGGCGCCGTGGACGAGCTTGATCGTGTCGGCAAGTGACGGGCGGTTGGTGCCCAAGAATGGGGGACCGCCTAGCTTCTCCACGATTTCGCGGAACGGGCTGGAAAACGAAGGATATAAGACCCTAGGTATGGCGGGCAGTAGTAGCGAATTACAGTAATCTGTAAACAATCGGGTTCTGGAATGTTAGCAGGGGGACTAAATTGTTCTCTGTGATTCTCTATGACAAATATCACGATTTTATCGCATTTTACATAGTTTTTAGATACGAAAACAATAATACAAATATAAGATTTCGCAAATATTTGACTTTTTGGTCCAAAATGACCAAAGGTGAAAGTGACCAAACAAAGGTCAAAATTTTCTAATTTTCAAAATTGAAAAAATCATTTTATAGCTTTCTCGCAACCAAAAACTATTAAAAAGACTATCAAATATGGAATATATCATCAACGGGTCAAAAAAAGTGATTTTCCCCCTCCAAAAAAAAATTTTTCCCCGGTAACAGTCCAGAACCAGCAATCGATCCTGCAACGTACTTGACGCCGTCGTTGCGGGTCTCCAGGCACAGCCGGTGTGCATTATGGACAGCCCGATCGGCTAGGGACGCCGTTTCGTTTGTCGGTACACGCTTCAGGAATTCTAAATAGTTACCATAGACTTATCAATATCATAACAACATTTTTACGGACTGACGAAAAGTATACCTCTGATCGGTTCGTTGATGGCGACCTTCATTGAGTCGGTCAACGATATGATGTTGACGCCACGAGGAAGCGGGTGGTCCTAGACAGTAAAAAAGTTGTTCTTCTGATTCATGCCAGGCAGGGCTAGGTAGGGTCAGAATCAAATTTTAAAATATTAATTAATTAATTAATTAATAATATTAAAAAATTTAAAATTACCTCAAGCCACTTTCCGCAGGCAAACTCGTAAAAATCTTCGCACGGGTTGACCCTTGGCTGAATCATGCTGAGCTAAAATAAATTGCGCATATGATATCAATCGATTCCTACAAAAGTTTTTGCCGACAATTTGCACCCATCCGTCTGGCAGTAGCGTCCCGGTCCGATAGGCGGGAGGTCCGGCACATCCGGAAGATGGAAAGGAGGCCTTTCTAAAAGTGCCAATTAAATGTATACTTTTAAGTATTGATAGCTTATAATACCAATTTTATTAATTTTTTTCTCAACATTTCCGACCTCCCAACTTCTGAACAGTAGCCCAGAAAATGTAGACGACGATGAGCACATCGAGCACGAAAAGCGCTTTGCCGAGGCGGTCAAAGGCCATTCTAGTAGCCTCGTTTTAGAAAAAAGCTAAACTCATCCCACTGACCTCACCAAGGCTTTGACAGAGAATGATATATTTTTTGTGCCTACTTTTTGTGTAATATGGAATTTATGCAAATTAATAAATTTGAGGCGCAGTAGCCTTGTTTTTAGGGCTCTCCGGATACCCTGCCGACCTACTTTTATTGGATTTCCAAACATTTCCAAATTCCAAACTTTCATAATTTTTCTAGGGTTTCTTTTTCACTATTTCTTGGAATTACCGTAGCCATTCCCTTTTTCCTTTCCGCCCCTAATATACCTCGCGTAATGCCGTTTGGATCAGTGTCGATAGTAGCGCGCCGTTTTTCCTAACTGCCCTGCGAAAGGATCAGCTTCTTCTTTCAAACGTATTCTTTGATTGGAACAATAAAATTAAAACTATCTTTTCTAGATGGAAGATGTTCGAACAACCGAGCTTCATGTTGTTGAGGGTACCTTACGCCACGAATTTCATCGCTCCCGATTAAAAGTAAGGGTTTTAAATTCAGCCTCGTTCCTGTTCCTCTTAAAAAAGGGCTGGTTGGTCTATAAACACGTTTTCAGGCCAATTGCGTCGCATGGAACCCGGTGCACCACGATTTATTCGCCTACAGCCCGCAAAAGGACCACGTCGTGCTGAAGCGCAAGGGCCAAACGTACCCCTGCTGGAAGTCGAGCATCAACAGCATGGCCCGCGCCTTCTTCTTTGTCGCCCCGAACTCGTACACGGTATGGAAAAGTAGTGATATCTGATATTTATGAATTTTTAGATAAAACACCTCGTCTGGAGCCCCGATGGGGATGTCCTCTGTTTGGCGACCGATCAAGGAGAAATTTTTCTTTTGGATACAGAATGCGGGCATTTGCTTTTTGCGTGGAAGTGAGTTAAAAACATTGTGATGGAATTTATTTTCAGGGTGATCCCGGTTGACGAACAGGACAAAACCGTTGTCAACGTGAAATGGGAGGCCGGCAAAAACTACAGCACAAATGGCGAGCCCTGCATGTTTCGCGGCGGCCTGCTTGGCGATGATTTGGATTGGATTCCGGAGGTTTGAATGCGAGGTGAATTAAAACTATTTTCCTAGAAACAAGCGGTGAAATCCCTGGAGGAGCGGTCTCGGCGAAAAATTATCGAGGGTTTCGAGTTTTTGAAGGTCTTTAATCGGTAGGTGCTTCTGATTTAGCCAAAACTATTAATTCTATTCAGGTCAATGCGTAACTCTTTCCTTCTCATCCAGCTCAACGACTTTTCGGTGATCGTGCTCTCGGGCGGTGTGATGCAAATAGCTGTCGTGCAGCCGCCACAGGAATTTTTCGGTGGATTTTGAAATTAGCAAAATATAAATCCTTTAGATTCGCAGCAACTCTATTTGGCGGACGTTGAAGATTTTACGTTAATCCAAGGCACGTCGACCTCGGAAAACGGATATACGGTAGATTAGTAATTTGAAAAGGCCATTTTTCCGTTTTAGATGGTGTTCACCTGTTTCTCGCAAGGATTTCCACCGGCCTGTTCGTTCGGTCAAAAATACGGTACATTCCTGCATGTACAAAACGTCAAATTTTTAGGATATCCCCTACAAGAATCGACGGCCGAAAAGCCCGAACCTACTTCCATTTCTCATTTGCTAGGGGTAGCGCTTGATACGAATCGGATAGCCGAGGAACAGCTCGAAAAGCTTGGATTTAGATAAGCAAATTACTAAAAGCAATAAATCGTTTTCCAGTTTCGTCCGAATCTACATTTTTTACTACACCCTGCTCGAGGTCTATCACTCTTTCCACGCTGGCTGGGACCACGAACTTGAGGTGGGTTTCAGAGATTTTTGATTTTACAGTCAATTCCTTCAGAAGCTCAACTCCAAATTCAACCACGGTGACGCTGAATTCGTTCGATTTGGCGAGGAGTTGCTGGGAGCGCTATATTTGGGCTTGGATTCAAAGGTTTTCCGTTTTTCATAAGTTTTTTAGCCATTTTTCCAGAGTCAACTTTTCTTCGAACGCGCATTTGGCGCCCCAACGACCAAGGAATTTGTGGATTTGTTGGAGAAGAGATTGCAGTATGTTATTTGTTTTTTTCTGGATTTTTCTATTTTAGAAAACTCCTTGGCTGGCTGCCTTCCGCGCTGATTCCATTTTCTGAGGCGGTTATGTGCGAGACGACGGCTTTTGTGCAGATTATGGAGAATATACTGGCTTCGGCGAGAAAGCCGAACCCTAGGGAGTAAGTTTTGGAACTGCCAAGCCGTAGTAAATGTTTTTAGCTTCTTCGTGAACCTGGCCAACTCGATCTACAGCCCGGAAAGAAGCTCGATTCCACAGCCAAGCGTCGATCCGCGCGAGGAATGGGCCGCTCGACTTGTAGATGCAAGTGAGAAGTTGGTGGTGTCGACGAGGAATTTGCACAATGCTTGTAAGCAAAATTGGTGAGTGTACAAACTTTTTGCTGCAATTTCTGATTTAGCGATGACATCGAGATGGTCATCGGCGTCATCGTGCGCTACAGCTTGTAAGGGAATCAATTCTTTTTAATAGTTCATTTCTTTAGCCGCGACATTCACAACTTATTGTCCCTCGAGCCGTGCCTTTCCGATCTTACTGGGCGCGGGACAAAGCTGCAGAAGATGGCGCAGCACTGTTTATTGTCATATTCGGCATACGATCCGCTGGATGCCGCAGAGGTAGAAAAATTAAACTAATAAATTTGAAGTTAGAGCTACGCACTAAAGTTAATATCAGAAGTTAATTAATAATTAATTTAGTCGCTGCTTCGCCTTTTCTTCAAGCCCGAAGAAGCCGCCCGGCTTCGCATCGACCCAACTGCCGCCGAATTGCCATCCGCTCAATTGTCGTGCCTCCCGTTCGTTGAGGGCAAGGCTTGTCTTGTGACCTCCGAACAGCTGCCGCCCCGCGAAGCGGTTGATTTGAATCACGTAATGTTAATTGATAGATTATCACACATGTTTTTAGCTCTCCGGCTACTTGAGCGAAGACGCGTCGACCTCGATTTACGGCGACACCAGCTTGCCTACAGTAAAGGCGGCCGTAGACTTGACGGCGAACACGCTCATCTTTGCCCAATCGACCGTACTTTCAAAGAAATTCAACGCGCATAAAGTGGTGAGAATACGACAAATTTGGTATTTACCTGTAATTTTTAGGATTGGATCCACGAAATTGCGCGGGGCACCGATTTGGTGTTTGGACGAGAAGGGATGAAGCTTTTGAAAATATCGAGGCCCGGGGAGCGGTATGTGGTTTATTTAATTGCTTTTATTACCCTTTTTTAGTGATGAGCTTCGGATCTGCGCCATCCAAAAAGGGAGGCGGGCTATCTTTTCGAGCAAGATTTGGAAGGGCGAGGAGAAACCGTCGAAGCCGGATGTGGTTATCGAGTTCGGCAAGGAGAATATGGTATTTGGTCGAAAAATTACATTTATCGGAATACCTTTAGGACATTACCACTCGGTCCGACGCCGCTGATGAGCCGACGCTAATTTTGGGCATCGATATGTTTGTGCCAACCGAGAAGGGTAAGATGAAGCGTATAGTTCACCTCGTTTTTTTCCTAGGCGCCGTCGTGTCGGTGGAAATTGGGCCTCGCGTGGGCACGGTCAGCGAGCGGCGGCTGTGTCATTTGGATTTCGACGCCGGGCGGTTGACGACTTATTCGGTTGGTCATTTTTTACAATTTTTATTGCTTTTTCAGTCCCAACGCCTCGATGAAAGCACCGAAACGCTGGCTGCCTGCACGAAGGGATGCGGGAACTGCCTGCTCATCGCCGACCAGGGCCACCGCTTCTGCGTCACCGAATTGCCGACGAAAATTCCGGAAGTAGCGGAGCCCGTTGATGAACCCATGTGAAGCTCATTTTTCTGATCTCTCATTGTCTTATTCAATTTGTGTCCTTTCCACCCGATGATGATCTTTGGCCAACCGTGCTGTCAAATGCCTGAATTTGCGTGTCATTTTTTGCTCATGTTGCTCAGATTTTACAGTTTATAAATAGGGGATGCCTTAAATTAATATCGGACCCGAATTGCGCGGCGTTTACGCACTGAACAATTTATTTACACTCAGGCGTGCACAAATATCGTGGTGAAGGCGACGTTTTGAGTATTGGCGAGTTCCCGGAATCAGATCTTCTTGTGGCGCCACACGCGGCACTTCTTCTCCGGGTTCATCGGCGAGTTCAGCTAGAAATTTTGTATTTTTTAAAAGTTTCTTTTTCCTTACCGGACACTTGTAGGCGCGGGAAAAGTCCTTCGAGTTTTTCATCATCTGAAAGAGCCCGTTTTTTAACAATTTTGGTGCTTATAAAAACCTCATTGACACGAATGTAGCCAATCGGATGCTCGTCCGCCATGTACCCCTCAAGATCGCCATCGCTGTGCTCGCCACAGTGGAACTAAAGCGTAAATGAGTTAATATATATCATTGTTTTAGTAAACCATAGCCGCCGCCACAAAATAGAGCTGATCCGGGGTGTAGGCGTCGAGTCCGGGAAGTTTTGGCTCGACCCGGCCGTAGAGGCGCCTCCGCTCGTTGCGGTAGGCCTAAATTTGTGATTTATCGATGTTTTTAGCTATTTTCGTTAGGGAAACGAAACTTACGCGAAAAGCCGCCCTGACGGCTGCATTATCAGCCACGGTTTCTTCGTGTGTTTGGTTGCCGGGTTGCTGAAATGTTTTGGCGTACCGGAGCGTGGCGAGTTTTTTGTACGTTATAAGTAGAAAGTGGCTAAATTTCACTTTACGGTAACTAAATAAAATGTCGATTTTTCGACTGGAATCGATAGATCTCATCGAGTTCTACCATTTCCCGTTGAAAAAACGATTGGGACTCGCTTTTAACAAAAGTTATAGCTGTTTTAAACCAATTCGCCCCGCATCGAAAAAGTCGGTGTCGGCTACGAGGGACTCCTTTGTACGGAAAAAAACGTACTAGTTGTGAACGTACTGGGGTACCAAATACGGGGCCGCTGCAAAAGGCGCAGGAAAACTTTATTATCACACATTTTGCGCTGCCTCCGAATTTCTGAATTTCTGAAACATCAAAAAGACGGTTTTGCAACAGGAGTCACTCAATTTGGAGGGAAGTGACCGCTACTTCTTCCGCTCTGCGACTAGAAAAAGGCTTCGTGCCACCGGGGGCCTAGTCGCTTCGGATGGGTGCGAGCTCGTACAGGGTTTCGAAATGGGGGCGCCAAGGCCGGCGAAGCGGCCGGGGGCCCCCCATTTCGAAAGAGTGGAGCGGCAGCCCATCCGAAGCGACGGCCCGCCTTGCCTGACAATGTCATAGTCAGAAATGTCAAAAATATAGGGTAGCCTCCTCCGAACTACTTTCCCAAAGTTTTGTTCAACTGTAAATGCTAGAACTCGACGAGATCTATTTATCCCAGGTGAAAAATCACATTTTTACGAGGTTACCGTAAAGTGAACCAATCACTTTAAATCGTTTATAACTTTTGTTAAAAGCGAGTCCCAATCGTTTTTTCAACGGGAAACGCAAGACCTCGATGAGATCTATCGATTCCAGTCGAAAAATCGACATTTTATTTAGTTACCGTAAAGTGAACTAGCCAATTTAAAATGTTTATAACTTTTTTTAGAAGCGAGTCCCAATAGTTTTTTCAACTGGAAATGGTAGAACTCGATGAGATCTATCGATTCCAGTCGAAAATCGGCATTTTATTTGGTTACCGTAAAGTGAAATTTTCCCTAGAAAGTAATTGTTTAAGCAGTAGTAGCAAGTGTTTTCATAGTGTTTTTAATCATGGCTACTACGCTCCAAATCGAAAACTTGAAGACTTCAAAATGTCCAAGATTTCGTCGAAAATCTGTGGTTTCTCATCGTGAATCATTTTTGTTTTGATTTGTAAAGTTTTTACGTTGCGTTATGTAAGATTCTAGTACCTACCCTAAAGTAGAGTTGTTATAACTCAAACAACAAACAACAAATTATTCAAACAACTCAAACAAGTTTGCTTTGTTTGAGCTCGAAAAATTTCAAACAAAACAACCTTGTTTGATTTGAGTTCCAGGGGATCAAATCAAACAAGTTTCTTTGACTTGTTTGAACTTGTTTGAGCGTCCTGAACTGTTCGATTTTTGGGAATTTTTGATGGGCCGGAAGTGGATTCAAATATTTAAAAACAAATTTTATCGGAAAAAATTTATGCTAATTGCGAAAATACCCAAAAAACACGTTTTAAATCCAAAATTAGCATGCATTTCAAACAAGGTCAAACAAAACTCAAACTGCTCAAATAGTCAAACAATCTTGTTTTGTTTGAGCGATCAACGGTCATCTCAAACAAAACGTGTTTGATTTGAATCTCTTAAAATCCCTATCAAACAGCATTGTTCAAACAAGCTTGTTTGAGGCCTTGTTTTGTTTGAGTTATAACAACTCTACCCTAAAGGTGTGATTCGACGAGACGATGGGAAAGGTGGCGTTCCCGTACTGATGATCGATACACTCGACTTGTTCGGCGAATTGGCCCTCGTCCTCATCGCCGGCGAGCACCTGTGTGTCGCGATTGATCCCTGAAATCATTTAGGTTTTAGAATATCAGAGTTTTATTCCAGGCTTAATAAAATTCCAAATTCTACCCACATCCTGGATCAATGGTGTGCGCGATCTCGTGGGCGATGATGAACCCGAGCGCGCCGTACTGCAACTCGAGCGCCGCGTCGACGTGGTATAGTGGCGGCGTCAGCAGCGCCCAATGGAAACCTAAAGTGTGCCATTTTTTGAAAAGTAGTTATCTTTTTTGGACGTACGCAAGGAGTAGAAGTCGTTGATCGCCTCCGGGCGGGCCTGAGATTCTTCTTGGGAGTGCTAAAGCGGGTTTTAACTTTTTTCAAAAAAAATAGCTAATTAATTTTTGCCGCAGGAAGCATGAAAAGCGGAAACGCTCACATTGTAGTGCAGGAAACCATCGAAGTGCTTGACCTTTTGCTGGAAGGCGTACCAGCTGTCGGCGGTGGCGGGGAACTGAATTAATTGTAGTTTGTAGTCTGTTAAAATTCAGGCCACATCTCGGTAATACTCGTCGACGAGCGATCGGGACCAGGGGGTCCAGTCCGGGCCGACGAACACCTCGACGTTGGCGACCTAGAATGATTTTTGCGCATATTCCAGGAGCTTACATGTTTTTATCTAAAATATCGTCTACACTACGGAACCAGTTATCGAATACGTTACAATACCTTTTCAATAGCATTCTTCTGGGTTTCCGCATCGGCCCACGGGCTCTCGCGGATGATCTCTTGGAAGGCGGCAAGCAATTTTCATGTAGTACCTGAAAGATGCCAGTTAAAGATAATTATGCCAAGACATCGTAGAAAATTAAAAATACATATTTTTCAAAATGTTACATGAACACTCTCGAAATCCTGCTGCCGGTAGTGACGCTCGAGGAGGATGATGTCCTTCCAGCGTGGATGCGATTTTAAGATCTAACTCTTCGAAATTCAATTTTGTTGAACTTTATGACTTACCTTATCCAAGCAGTACGTATCCAGCGGCTTGTAGTCGTAGGGCGAGCTGTAGGTCTGGGATAGGTAGTAAAGCCGTGGATTGAAGGAAACGATACCTTTCGAATGGTCTCGTAGTCGTTTCCAAGGGTCGGCAGTTGGTCGAGGAACCATTGGATGACCAGCGCTTCCCTGGCCTCTACCTGGTGATCTTCGAGGTAGCGATTGAGCTGAAAAATTCTATTAAATGGCATACCTGGATGAAATTTGATTAAACGATCTAAAACTTATCAAAAAAAATATGTGTTTTAGCTAAAAATCTTCAAAAAACCCATTTTTGAGTTTTGCAAAAATGTGTAGTTTTACGCCTACGAGCAGCCAAAAAAGACATTTTCTCGATATCGTTCTAGTTTTCGCCTCACATCCTCAAAATATTGCTCCGGGATCAGGGCGATTCGATCCCGGTTGAGTTTGAAGATCGGGTAGCCATTCCGGAAAAAGGTGAAGAGCGGGATCTGATAGCAAATTTTTATAATGTGAGCACGAGCTCACATTTGGGTAGTGCTCCGCGACCTCCGCCGACGGGTGAAACCGCCCTTCGTCGATGTCCGAGGAATTCGCCCGGACCTAGAAGCAAGGATTTGGTAGATGCTCAAAACGTGCCTCCTCCAGCCCTTCCACGAAGTTCTTGTAGGAGTCGAGGCCGCGCTCCAGGTCATCGTCGTCGAGTGGGAAGTAGGCCTCGCCAAAGTCGTAGGCAAGCTTCTTGGCGATCTAGAAAATCATTAAATTGCTCGCTAGATAGATCTCTATCTCTCTCTCTCTCTCTCTCTCTCTCTCTCTCTCTCTCTCTCTCTCCTAGCCGACCTGCTTGACCAGCTCGCGCCTCCTCGCAATATCACCCTCGCTTTGGCTCCTGATGCACTCCGCCTTGTACACCATTTCTTCCGGCGCTTCCTTGTCCGGTTTCGCGTACGCGTAGTAGAACGGGTTGCTGAGCCCGCCGGTCAGCTCGATCAGCTTTTCCAAGCTGGGGCGCGATTTGGCGGCAAATGGCGGTCCTCCCATAGCGTCGACAGCGTCGCGGAGGCCTCTGAAAAAATGGAGAGTACCACAGGGTTGAATTTTTGGTAGATGAGGTATAAAAAACCGACGCGATCCCATTCTCGCCCGTCTCCATGCACAGCTTGTAGGCGTTGTAGACGCGCTTGTCGGCCACGGTCGCCGTGTCGTTCCAGGGGACGTTGTTTAGGAAGGCTGGAACAATGCATATATTCTCTCTCTCACTCTCTCGCCCTTTCTCTCTCTCTCTCTCTCTCTCTCTCTGTCTCTCTCTCTCGAGGCATAGAGACATAGAGAGACAGAGAGAGAGGCAAAACTTTGAATACTTACTAAGAATCGTTTCCTCCATATCCTCCTTCAGCACCCAGATGATGTTCGTTCTGAGGATCCCAGGCTTCAAGGGACGATTCTGAAAATTTATTAATTTCGGAAACTCAGGAACTTGAGTCCATACCTTGATGAACGTTCCGCAGGCGAACTTGAAGAAATCCTGACACGGGTCGGCATCCGGGAGGATCATCTTGAGCTGAAAGACGAACTCGCTGAACTTGACGGCCTGAAACCCACAAAATTGTCAGCCGTCTTCTTGCATCCCGACGTCCTGCAGTACCCGTCCGAGCTGATCCCCGGGTATCTGGACGGCCCGTCCAATGACGGCTTGTATTTTGGAGGGGGCGTGGGATGGTGGGCTGGTTTGGCTGGCTTTGCTGGCTTGCTTGATTGGGTCGGCTTCCCCGGCTCAACCGTTAGTGTCAAGCGCAGCGGGTGGGCTAAAATCAAAAAAAAATTCTGAAATTTGAGAAGGGCTGTTGCCCCTCCTCCTGTTGCTACTGTCAAAATATTCAAAGTTCATCACGTTGAGGTTTGTAATGTAGAAAATCCTTAGCCCAAGAAGCCTAAACCTAAGCCTAAATCCTAAGCCTAACCTAAGCATGTTGAATTTTAATATTGGCAAAATCTCATATCATCGAAATTGCATAATGTCGAAATTTCAGAATATTGAGGTTTCTAGTGCCTGGGAGAACACCTACTGGGAAAATTTCACTTTACGGTAACTAAATAAAATGTCGATTTTTCGATTGGAATCGATAGATCTCGTCGAGTTCTACCATTTCCAGTTGAAAAAACTATTGGGACTCGTTTCTAAAAAAAGTTATAAACATTTTAAATTGGCTAGTTCACTTTACGGTAACTAAATAAAATCTCAATTTTTCGACTGGAATCGATAGCTCTCATCGAGTTCTCGCGTTTCCCGTTGAAAAAACGATTGGGACTCGCTTTTAACGAAAGTTATAAACGTTTTAAATTGGTTGGTTCACTTTACGGTAACCTCGTAAAAATGCGATTTTTCGCCTGCGATAAATAGATCTCGTCGAGTTCTGGCATTTACAGTTGTAAAAACCTTTGGAAAAGTTGTTCGGAGGAAGCTACACTATATTTTTGACATTTTTGACTGTGAAATTGTCAGGCAAGGCGGGCCGTCGCTTCGGATGGGCTGCCGCTCCACTCTTTCGAAATGGGGGCGCCCCCGGCCGCTTCGCCGGCCTTGGCGCCCCCATTTCGAAACCCTGTACGAGCTCGCACCCATCCGAAGCGACTAGGCCCCCGGTGGCACGAAGCCTTTTTCTAGTCGCAGAGCGGAGGAAGTAGCGGTCACTTCCCTCCAAATTGAGTGACTTCCGTTGCAAAACCGTCTTTTTGATGTTTCAGAAATTTAGAAATTCGGAGGAAGTGCAAAATGTGTGCTAATAAAGTTTTTCCTGCGCCTTTTGCAGAGGCCCCGTATTTGGTACCCCCAGTACGTTCACAACTATTACGTTTTTTCCGTACAAAGGAGCCCCTCGTAGCCGAAACCGACTTTTTCGATGCGGGGTGAATTGGTTTCAAACAGCTATAACTTTTGTTAAAAGCGAGTCCCAAACGTTTTTTCAACGGGAAACGCGAGAACTCGATGAGATCTATCGATTTCAGTCAAAAAATCGACATTTTATTTAGTTACCGTAAAGTGAACTAGCCAATTTAAAATGTTTATAACTTTTTTAAGGAGTGAGTCCCAATAGTTTTTTCAACTGGAAATGGTAGAACTCGACGAGATCTATCGATTCCAATCGAAAAATCGACATTTTATTTAGTTACCGTAAAGTGAAATTTAGCCCACCTACTCTGATATTGCCACACCAGCAAGAAGAAGATGAGCATGAGCATGACGGTGGCTGCGAGGCCGGCGAGCCGGATCGCCGATGCTGGTTGCATTTTCCTGGATTTCGCGGCGAAGAAGTGGCAAAGCCGAAAGCTAAGCGAGAAGGACGGTGTATTGAAGAGGCAAATCTTGTTCAATAGCGGCTAGGTTCAGCAAAATTATGCAAATTCTCTAGGTATACAAATCTGAGCGTTTACTGTAGGTAGGGTGGTAGGCTGGTTCCCGAAATACGGCCGGCGATGAGCATTTCCGTACCAAAATCGGAAACGCGAAAACGCGAAAAAATATTTATATTTTGTTTTAGGAGGTAGCGCCGCGCTTCTCAAAGCGTTTCGAGCGCTTTTTTGCGGTCTCCAACAAAACCTTTTCATGCTACAAGGTGAACCGGTTTTTTAGGCTTTTTTAAAACTGAAAGCTGTTTGAGCCATTGGCCATTTGCAAAATACCATATCCATTTCATCCCAAAAACATTTATTCGCCAGCGAAAAATACACAAAAACGGCATGGTGAAATCAAAATTTACAGGCGATACATGGGTCAGGGGAGGGGAATCGAGTGGGTCGATTAGTGCCTCTTCTTGTGGCGCCACGTGTAGCACTTCTTCTGCGGGTTCATCGGCGAGTTTAGCTAGAAAAGGCGTTAAAATAGTACCTGGACAACAGTTTTTTTTACCGGACACTTGTAGACGCGGGAAAACTCCTTCGAGTTCTTCACCATCTAAAAAAGGTGATCAAAGCCGATAAAATTCCCATACCTCGTTAAGGCGAATATAGCCGGGTGGGTGCCCGTCTGTCTCTAACTTCTCGAGTGCATCCTTGGTATTGTTGTCGCAGAGGAACTAGAGAAGATCTGGGTCCATAAAGTTTTAGGGGAAGACCATTGCGGCAGCGACGTAGTAGAGCTGGTCGGGGGTGTAGGCGTCGAGTCCAGGGAGTTTTGGCTCCAGTTTGCCGTATAGGCGCTTACGCTCCTTACGATAGGCCTGGAAGAAATACTTTAGCAACATCATTACGTAAGAGCCGAGAGAGAAAGAGAGAGAGAGAGAGAGAGAGAGAGAGAGGGAGGGAGAGAGAAAGCGCGTGAGAGAGATAACAAGACAGAACGAGACAAAATGGGAGAGAGAGCGAGAGAGAACGAGAGAGCGGATGAGAGAGAGAGAGAGAGAGAGAGAGAGAGAGAGAGCGAGGGAGAGAGGGGATGAGCACATAATCAACCAACCCTCAAAGCCACCCGAAGCCCGGCATTGTCGGCGACAGCTTCATCACGAGTTATGTCTCCAGGTTGCTAAAGGCCTGGCCGATCACGAGTCCCTCTCCCGACCAACCCTGAAGTCCGTGTTCTCTGGCAGGCCGGCGTTTCCGTATTGTTCCTCAATACACTCGACTTGTTCCTTGAATTGCCCCTTGTCTTCCTCGCCGGCAAGGACGCTCGGTTTAAATTCGATGGCTAAACAGATGATGCAACACCGGCAATTATGTGTCTGGTCCCTTGTCTCAAGTACAGAGTGTTCCAATAAAAATAGACCGCCCTCTTTTGTAAAATAGAGCATATAATTAAAAACATGATTATGAAGATTGTTGCAAACTCGCCAATTAAAGGGCTTTCAAACGGTGAACTATCATTCTGATCCGATACTTTTGCGGCGAGTTAAAGGGATGTGTTTTTTGGTACAAGTAGGATAAGCGGGGGGGAAAATTTTAGGCGGGGGGGAATCAACTTTTTCCTGGTCAGCCCTGGTGGGGATAGTAATCAAATATAAAGTGTTTTCACATTGTTTTTAGCAAAATTTAAGCCTATTTGAATCCGAAAATTTTTTTAAAAAGTTAGAAAAACTCTTGAAAAAGTCGAAAATTTGGTCAGTTTTGGGCCGAAAAAAGTGATTTTTAGACCTAAAATTAAATTTTTTAATTAAGTTTTGTAAAGTTTTTATGTTTAGGAATTGCTATAAACAATTTAGAAACACTTCCATTATTTATATAAAAAAATAGGCTTGAGCGGAAAAAAGTTCGGTTTCCCCCGCCTAAAATTCCCCGCCCCCGCTTATCCTACTTGTACCTGTTTTTTGATGGGGATACCCTGTAATTTCAAACCTCCCGGATCGATGGTGTGTGTCAGCTCGTGACCAATGATCATGCCCAGCCCGCCGTACTGCAACTCGAGTGAGGCATCCGGATGATAGAACGGGGCGGTTAGCAGACCCCACATGATAGCTGGAAAATATTTGTTATGCGCCTAGGAAGCATATACAAGACATACTTGAGCCGGCTCAAATCTGTAAAGCTTCTTCTGTGAAACTTACAAACAGTGCCGAGCCCGTTGGAGGCGTTCGTATCGCCTTGAAATTCGGTAGTAGGATCCTGAAACGTACGTCGTTGTAGATTAATCTCGTTTTGTCTTCTCTCTCTCTCCCTCGCTCTCACTCGCTCTCTCACTCGCTCACTCTCGCTCTTTCTCTCTCCCCCTCTCTCTTTCTCTATCGTAAAAATCACCCACCTTCAGTTCCTTCGGGCCGACAAAAGTCCCTCTCTGCCGCAAAAACTCGAACCAATTTTTGGCATTGGCGGGGTAGTACTTTAATTTTGTAAAGTTTTTTGAACTTTGGAACGCTACCGAATTATAATAGCTTTCGACATCGGTACGAGGCCACGTCCAGCCCTGGCCGACGGCGAATTGCATATTCGATAGCTGAACTTAGGATTTTGCTCCAATATCATCCTCGATCTCTCTCTCTCTCTCTCTTCTCTCGCCCTAAACCTACCGCTTGACTGACGTTTTCCTGGGTGGGTGGGTCGGCCCACGGGCTTTCCTTGATGTGCTCCAGGTAAGCGTCGAACACTTTTTCGTGGAGGTCCCAAAATATTTGTGTGGTAATGGCATTCACTAAATTACGTAGACGGTCTCTATCAGCTCAACCGGATAGAGGTGTTCGCGGAGAACGATGTCTGCCCACCGCGGGTGTAGCTGTATCATCTAAACATCCGGAGCTCGAGTGACGAAAATATCGCTTGCCTGACTTGCACAATAGTCGGGTAGTGGGAGGTAGGTCGCCTGGTGCTTCTGAAAGGTAAATAATGTATCATTAAAGGGACGATAGAAACTATCTAAAAACACTATCACTATCTAAAACACTTTCAAAAAATTTTCAAAAAGTCGAAATTCCGATCAAAAAACGGCCATTTATGGTCGAAAATTTTAATGCAAATTTGTCAAGTTTTGACGTCTAGGGATAGCAACAAACAGCTTCGAAAGACTTCTACAATTTAGGTTTAGAAAATGGTTAATACCAAAAAATCTCCCCCCCCCCCCGATAATGGGAAAGACCCAATAGAATGCAGTCAATAAACTGCAGAGCGCTGCGGTCGCCGTTAAACCCGAACCTTGCGAATCTCCTCGTATCCGTGTCCAAGAGTATTCATCTGCCCCAATAGCCACTTCACCACCAGACCCTCCTTCACGTGATGCTCGTTTGCGAGGTAGAGCGCATTGAGCTAAAGTATAGGGTGTCAAACGTCTAAAAATACCCTCCTCGAACTCCGCGCGGAAGTATCGGATCGGCATGATAGTTATACGATTCAAAAGCCCTTGAAACGTTGATTTGCAACAATCTTCATTAACATTAAAGGGGCTCCGAAATCTGGTCCACGGCCCCCTGCTGTGATTTCTGGCAAATAGCCAGATGCGACCGCAACGCGACCGCGCCGCATGGTCTTTTGCCCCTGTTTGGACGCGAAAACGCTAGAATTTAAAAATTCTGATGCTATTTTTGGAATCTTCACCAAATTTTGATCATTCTAGACTTTTAATTTATGAAAATTGACCAGAGAATCGCCGAGATCGAGAGATTGGGTGTCTTACAACGCATTACGACAGGTAATCGCCGCACACTCAAAATGTCGTTTTCGCCCCAAAAAGAATTCGGATTTTCTCAAATATTTTACGTTTTTTCGCAATGAAATCACTTTTCTGGCACTTCTCGGCAGTGTCCCTTGCGTTTTTTGACCAGTGGGTTCAATCCCCGCACGCACGAATTTTGACTTCTGAGCCCCTTTAAGAAACGGCTTCTCCATCTATTGATTAAAGGGCACGTTCAGAGAGATTTTTTGGAAAAAAAACAAAGATTTTTGCCGCGGCCGGGGTTCGAATCCGGGCCCTCCGCTCGGGAGGCGCGGATGCATACCAGTGAGCCACAGCTACAACCTGGCGAGTGGATGAGGGGCGCCCCACGCCGCAAAGGAGAGAAATTGCCTGCCACGCCACGGGCAGGCAGTGCGCGCGGTCGCTACGTCCATAGGGTGTACACGTTGGGACGAGTACACGGCTCCTCCCTGAACGTGCGATTTAACGGCTACTTCCGGTGATTTTGCCTCGAGAAATTGCGGAAAATTAGCTCGTATGCAACCACGAAAGACCGGTAAATTATACCAAATAGCTTGTAAAGTAGCGGGTTTAAATAAAGACCTTATTTTGAATGTTGTTGGAAACTCTCAGTTGTAAGGGCTTTCGAATGGTATAGCTTCCATTCCGATCCGTTACTTTTGCGTGGAGCTAGCAGCGGATGTGTTTCGTGTGGGCACACATTTTTAATGGTCACCTTCTTGAAATAATCGATGCTCTCGACTTGGAACTGCAGCTCCATTCGCGGGAAGAGGCCCCTCATCATCTCCAGGATTTTCAACTAAACAGGACGGTAGTCATCGGAAATAAATTCTTGGTTTTATTGCATTATCGGGGGGGACCAAATTTTACCTATTCTTCAAAAATTTCAAAAATTCAAAATTTTGACCACAATCGGGTCGAAATGTCGAGCCGGCCCGATGAAAACTCTGGCAGTGCAATAAGTGCAGTTTACCAGCCCCCCGCCCCCCAGCCGGCACCCACCTACCGTATCTCGGCTCCCTGTTCATCTACAGGTGTGTAAAGTATACCAAAATACTCGCCAGAGCAAGACAAACATTTTGGTATACTTTACACACATGTAGATGAACAGGGAGCCGAGCTACACAAGTGGGGTGCCGGCTGGAGGGGGGGGGGGCGTAAACCGCACTCTACCCAAAACTCTACCCCCCCGCTAGCGAACAAAAACCAAGTACAAATTTATTTCAAGCAAGAGCAAACTAAAAATTTAGAATGTAAAATTTTCAAATCCTTGTTTGAAAATCGGCTGCTAATTCGAGATAGCGATTGATCTAACGGGGGCCCTTTTATCCCCGGTGACCTGGAATACCCTACATTCGGAAATTGCTCTGTAATATCTTCTGCATCCATATACAATAGGTCCAAATCGGTCTCATCTCGAATCTATAAAATCAATTTTCAAGAAAAACACAAGGCGGCCATCCCACCCTGTGCAAATCCGCGAAGAAAGCCCGATATTCAGCATCATCAGCCATAGTCTCGTGGCTGCTGCCAAAGTCTTTGTGGAGTTGTGCGAGGAACTAAATCGGCGGAATAACTATTTTTTCAATAATGCTAAAGCGAAAATCGAATTTTTGTTAACGATATAAGAACGTGGCTTGCCTTAAGAAAAATGTAGAACGTCGTTTGGGGGGTGGCGGATTTTAGCGCGGGGCGGGGGAAACAAGTTTTCCACAGACAGTAATAATTTTCTACGCCATATAACAAAATGGAAGCCATTTTCATGGAATTTTACATTGTTTTTTAATACAAATATTTGCAAAAAATTATAAATATTTTCAAAAATTTTGAGTTTTTTTGGTGCAAAAATGTATGAAAATTGACCAAAAACCACCAAAATTTTCAAAATTTTTAAACGATTTTTACTACCAGTGACTACTGAGAGCGACCACCACCAAACTAAAACCCTTTTACAAAATACATGATATATCATCAACAGGTAGTGCAAAAACAAAAAGCGGTACCCCGGCTAACAGTCCAGAACCAGGGAACCCACCTCGTCGATCATGCGGTAGTGCCGCGCAATTTGCTCGTCAGTTTGCTCCGGGACGGGCTGCAGGATGATGGCAACCACAGGATGATGGATGTTGTCGCTGGGCGCCGACGTGTAGGAATAAAGTGGGAACGAGGTGGCGCCGGTCAGCTTCAGCAGCTCGCTCATCGCCGGACGGGGCTTGTTGCTGAATGGGAGGCCGCCGATGGCGAGCAACGTTTCGCGTATCGCGCTGGAAGTGGGCGATTGGTGCCGAGGTCGGATGGTTACCAGAGTTTACATTGTCAGAGAAAAACGATGGATAGGTAAAATTTACAGATTTGATTAGTTCAATGTTTTCCTTACTTTTTGCAAGAAAAAGCGCTGCGGGGAGGGGAAAAACGGGGTTTTTTAGTGGAGGTACCCATTTTTTTTGTTTTTCCACCTATGCCTAGCCATTGACGATAAACAATGTATCTTTACATTGTTTTCAGTAGATTTTGATTCCTAGAAAATCATAAAAAAATATCTTAAAACGATTTGAAAAATCGGAAATTTATACCTTCTTTGGCTATTTTTCATGCACTTTTGGCCAAAAGGCCAAAATTTCGAAAGGTTTTATGGTTTTTTTTATTGGGGGTTCTATATCTGAAACTATGTAAAATGCGATAAAAATGCTTTAAATTTTGTTATAGAACCGCAATACGAGGAAAATTTGATTCCGCCCGCTAACAGTCCATAACCACTAAATATAAGCCGAGCCAGGCAACCGGACGCTTTTCGGAATTCAGAAACTTGGAAATGCTTTTCAGAAAGCATAGATTCCCCACTCGAGGCCAGTCCGGTTCGTCTCCATGCAAAGCTGGTACGTCTTGGTCACCTTCCGGTCGGCCCCGGTGGCCGTTTTGTTCAACGGGACGGCCTTCAGGAAGTCTAAAAAACTTTTTACGAGGATCGAATGGGGTCTTGTGCAGCACAACGCGACAGCAAAGGGAAAATTGTCGTATCCGGTCACTAAACCGATTTTGGATTTTTATATGTCAAAATGCTCAGCAGGTCGAGCTGATTACAGATCAGTTGAAAAAACTTTTGGGAAACACTTCTAGCTCGAGATATGAAGCTTCAAAGTTGGCAACTGAAGTATCCGGTCACTAAACGGATTTTGGGTTTTTATATGCCAAAATGCTCAGCAAGTCGAGCTGATTACAGATCAGTTGAAAAAACTTTTCGGAAACAGTGCATTCGCGAGATATCTGTGTTAAAATGCCGTCCAATAACCAGAAATATTTGAAACTGAGGTGGGGCAATCGAGTACGTATGGCAACACATTGCGGAAATCGGAATGAGTACAGGGTGGAACAGCCGGCCGATAGGTTTTTTTGCTTGTTTTTTCAAATTCCTTGTCATTATCCCATCTTCAATAGTTAGCAGTGATTTTGACAATTTTTAAATGGGAATCAGAATATTTTTAGCCTCTGTAATTTTATTCTGCTGGTATTTTGCGGCTTTTCTCGTTTCTTTTTATTGTGATTGTTTTGAAGACCAGAATAATTTTGTTGTTTAGGTGAATTCTTCCGCTTCGCCTGCCATATTCCATTCCACATGACGGCAAGGTACTTCGACTCCGGCCTTCGCAGTGGACAACGGGTAGAAACATTGTCAGGCAAGGTGGGCCGTCGCTTCGGATGGGCTGCCGCTCCTCTTCGAAATGGGGCGCCCCGGCGCTTCGCCGGCCTTGGCGCCCCCATTTCGAAACCCTGTACGAGCTCGCGCCCATCCGAAGCGACTAGGCCCCGGTGGCACGAAGCCTTATTTTTAGGCTCAAATTGGGTTGTAGAGTAAGCTTGTATCGAGCAGATACCCATCTTTAGCAAAGCTACCGGGACGGGTAAAGCCCAACTTTTTAAGTGTCATATCTCGCGAATGCACTGTTTCCGAAAAGTTTTTCAACTGATCTGTAATCAGCTCGACTTGCTGAGCATTTTGGCATATAAAGCCCAAAATCCGTTTAGTGACCGGATACTTCAGTTGCCAACTTTGAAGCTTCATATCTCGAGCTAGAAGTGTTTCCCAAAAGTTTTTTCAACTGACCTGTAATCAGCTCGACCTGCTGAGCATTTTGACATATAAAAATCCAAAATCCGTTTAGTGACCGGATACTTCAGTTGCCAACTTTGAAGCTTCATATCTCGAGCTAGAAGTGTTTCCCAAAAGTTTTTTCAACTGATCTGTAATCAGCTCGACCTGCTGAGCATTTTGACATATAAAAATCCAAAATCGGTTTAGTGACCGGATACGACAATTTAGCCACGCGACCTGCCCGGCGACACGCCCGCGATACGCAGCGCGACACGCAACGCGACACGCAACGCAACACGCAACGCGACACGCAACGCGACACGCAACGCGACACGCAACGCAACACGCAACGCGACACGCAACGCGACACGCAACGCGACACGCAACGCGACACGCAACGCGACACGCAACGCGACCGCAACCGGACACGAAACGCAACACGCCACGCATCACCCACCAGCAACCGTGTTCCGTACGATTTCCTCGACCACCGGGATGAAGCCGACGCGCTCTTCGCCTATTCCATTGCGCAAAAACGGGTGATCCTGGAATTGTGAAAATGGCGGGGGTGAACTTCGAGTGAACCGAGGCCCATCTAACCGATTTTCCTCCCTCTATACTTACCCGTCAATAATCACTAGTTTGTTTGGTAGTACTTTTCGATTGTTAGAAAGTTACAAAAAAATATCTTAAACCTCTTCGAAAATTCGAAACTCTTGAACTCTCCAAAAAGTCAAAAATGTTCGAACATTTTAATACGTTATGGTGTTTGTAGTGTAGTTAGTAGTAGTAGTAGTAGAAGTTACCTGCATGAACTTGCCACAGGCAAATTTGTAGAAATCCTGGCACGGGTCGGCGGTCGGGAGGATCATCGACAGCTGAAAGTCATAGTCGATGAACTTAACATCTTCTACACTCACAAAAGTCTCGGCCGTTTTCTTGCACCCATCGGTCCTACAGTAACCGTCAGCATCGACCGGTGGATGTGTAGTGCTTGTAGAAGTAGTGCCCGTAGATGTAGTCGCACGAGTTGTGTTTGTAGATGGTGTCGTCACGGGCGCACCGGTAGACGCCGTCCTCGTCGTGTTCGGTGCTTGCTGGCTGGACTTCGTCGGGGCAGGCAGGCCAGGGCGCCGCTCTTTTACTAGAAAAAAACGCGGTTGAAGTGCACTTCCCCCGCCGCCCCCCCCAGCCGACCCCCACGTACCGTATCTCGGCTCCCGGTTCATCTATTGGTGTGTAGAGTATACCAAAATACTCGCCAGAGCAAGACAAACATTTTGGTACCCTTCACACACCTGTGGATAAACAGGGAGCCGAGGTACAAAAGTTGGGTGCCAGCTGGGGGGGGTAAACTGAACGATTACCCGCACTTTTCAAAACGTTGACTTCAGGAACCTACGTGCAAGCTCCCGAAACGCGACGCTGAAGACGATGATGGCGATGAGCATGATGGGAAAGAGGCATAGCTTCGCGGGGCCGTTGCCCATCGTTCGGAATACCGCGGAGTGAACCGTTCGAATGACGGGATTTCGGGAATTTATGCGCAGCAGCGAAAGCTTTATTCAAATTCGAGTTTCACGGCGCGACGGGGTCAAGTGTAAAGTGTAAGTATGTAACTAACCCGTACTGGTTGCTTTCAAACACCCAAGAACAAATTTATTCATCCCCGCAAAGTACATAATCAACAGCCATGGTTTCATCATACTAATAACAGATCCCTGGAGGTTGGTCTATTAGTGCTTCCTCCTCTTGTAGCGCCACACGCGGCACTTCCTCTCCGGGTTCATCGGCGCGTTCAGCTGAAACAGCGTCATTTTCAACAACATTTTTCCTACAGGGCACTTGTAGGCACGGGCGAAGTCCCTCGAGTTCTTCACCTCCTGGAAATCGCAAGTCAAAGATCTGGGTCGAAAACCACCTCATTGACACGGATGTAGCCCGGGGGGTGTTCATCATCTTCATTCTCCAACAACTCGTCATCGCTCTGCTCGCCGCAGTTGATCTAGATTATTGTGAGGTAGAGATGCTTGGTAAAACCATCGCCGCCGCCACGAAGAAGAGCTGATCGGGGGTGTAGGCGTCAAGTCCGGGGAGTTTTGGCTCGAGGGTTTTGTAGAGGAGCTTGCGCTCGTTGCGGTAGGCCTAAGTTTAGGGGGTGAAAGAGAAGAGAAAGAGAGAGAAAAGGTGAGAGAGATGGAGAGAGATAGAGAGACCAACCCTGAAGGCAGCGCGCAGCCCGGCATTGTCGGCGATGGCCTCGGCATGGGTCAGTTCTCCGGGTTGCTGAAAGAAACCACAGTCACAGTACGGTAAAAACCAAATTCGCGGGTTTTCAAATACCCTACACTGAAAGTCCCGTTGTAGCTATCCAACGGCATGATGGCATTTTCGTACTGGTGCTCAATACACTCGACTTGTTCGCGAAATTGGCGCTTGTCCTCCTTGCCGACGAGCACCGGGGAGTTTTGTATGACTAAAAATTATCAAAGGTCTGAGGTATCGATTTTTTTGTATTAGTAGAACTTCAAAATGGGCCACGTTCGCGTCGCATTTCCTAGAAGCTACATTTTTTTTTGGAAATTAAGCAGAAGAACCAACATTCCGGATCTAACGAGTGCCCCATCTCGTGTCCAATGATTTGACCCAGCCCTCCAAAGCGCAACTCCAAGGACGCGTCGTCGTGGTAGTACGGCGCCGTCATTAGGCCCCAATTGAGGTCTAAAATACGGACTATTACTACGAAAAGGCACCCACGAAGACTAATGTCATCGTTAGACGCGTCGGTATTGCCATGCATCTCGTCGTCAGCGTTCTAAAGGGTCGGCTTGCGTCAATTTTTTGGGCCTAGCTACAGTAAAATTCCGAAAGCCGGCGAATAGCTTCAGGTTGTCGTGAAAGGCGAACCAGCTGTTCGCGTCGGCGGGGGTGTACTGAAATTAGTAGTGTACTGCAACGGCGTCCAGAGGGCAAGGCCAGGCCTGGGAATTTGGCGGGCCGGCCCGGGCCGGCCCGGGCCGGGCCGGGCCAGGGCCGAGATTTTCGGGATTTTCGGCTGGCGGGCCGGCCCGGGCCGGCCCGTCAAATATGGAGGGCCGGCCCGGGCCGGCCCGCCACCTTGCCAATAAGTTATATTGAGTTTAAATGAGGTAATTTAATTACATTATAAGTTTTCCTTATTGATATTCAACTTCAATCATCTGTTTAAACAGTTAAAGTAAAAAAAATCCGAGTTTTGGCTTAACTTGATTTATCAGGAAAACGACCCGGGTTCGATCCCGGCCGAGGTCAATCTTTTGCTTTTTGCTTTTTTGGCCGGAAATGTTCAGAAATGCTGGGAATATGCCTTGTTAGCCTTATTAAGTGTATTAGGGTTGAAACTACACGGAGGGCGTCAAAGAAATTGAACTCCACTAAGTAAAACAGACTTTTTTCTATTGAACTAAAGATGTACTGGTTGTATGCTGCTTTATGAATAAATTCTCGTTACATACTATACCTAAATCGGTTGTGCAAGCCTATAGACGATTAACAAACTTGATCTAACACTTTTTTGTGACTCCGGAAAAATTAAAGGATGGTATATACTGGTTTGGTAAAAATGTACCCAAAATGTCGGGCCGGCCCGGGCCGGCCCGGGCCGCGGGCCGAAAAATTGGCTGCGGGCCGGCCCGGGCCGGGCCGGGCCGGGCCGAGAAAATGGGCTGGCGGGCCGGCCCGGGCCGGCCGGGCCGGCCGATTCCCAGGCCTG